AATATATAGAATACAGTTCTCGATAATTTAATGTTCAAATTTTCTTTCAAGTGCCTTTATATGCATCAAGCCAATTTAGTTTAAGTTAATTAATATGTCTATATGTGTGTGTGCGTGTGTGCATGCACAAATATATATTAATACATAAATAGAATTTAATAATGTAATAGTGTTAATAGTGAATATTAGTCTTAATCAAAAACCAAGAGTTCTCGGTTAAAACTTCAAAATACTAGCACAATAATGTTTATAATATAATTTTTAGCAGTAAAACAATGGATAAGGTATTATTACTAATTACGTAGACAATGAATGTACAGCTAATATAATGACTAATAATTATAAAATTGTACAAACTGATTATAATTAATTGATAGAGGGGCATTACGAATAATTATAATATTCCTTGTGAAAATATTTGAAAATTACAATTCAATTAGATCTCTTCTAAATGATATTGCAGATAATTCACGCACCGTTTTTCTATTTTGGTCATCGTTAATATAATGCTAATGGAAATTATAACGAGAATATAGGTATATTTAATACTTGTTTGCGAATAATGATAGTGCAAAATTATTATACCATATTCTAACAAATTCTGATGATTGTTGAAAAAATTATTCCCAAAGCAATGTTAGTAAGTTTATTTGAATTTTATAAGTAGAACGGGTGTTGCATGGAATTTAAAAGTACTCGAGCTCAAAATATCGAGAAAGTTCATCTTCCATCTCACGATCGAATAATTAAAACTAATAAATAAATAGTGTTCGACCGTGCTGGCACTTTATTAACTAATTGATGTAAGAAGTATGCTGGTAAAATAAAATTTTTATATACAAGATAGTAATTATACTTAAAAATCTTATCATTAAAATCTCTCGATACGAGTAGGAATGACCGTTCGAATTTGACTTTTATCAGATCGATTGATATTTTTCAGGACGGTATTTACTTGAAGAGTGCGGAAAATATTCCTTGCCGAAGGACTCGCTGTTATAATCCATTAATTGTCAATGGGATTATAAGCTTGAGAATCCACGTGCACATCGGACGTCTTAATTGAGTCCGCTGATGAAAATGCGACAGGAGGTTGAAGGGAGTGGGCGTCGACCGGGGATCGTGGAAAGGACGATGCCGGGGAATCGGTCAACGATCCGCTCGTGGATGCGTCGGGAAATCAGTATGAGTCCGCGAGACTGGCATCGGCGGTTCCCCAACTCCTTTATAAATAGGCCGCCGTCCTCCCCCGCGAGCTATTTTAAATCCGCGCTCCTTCTGCTTAACTCCCCTATGCTCGCTTTCGAATTAATTTACAAATTCACAATGTCCAACGCTCCCTCCAGCGCCTTTAGTCGCCGTTAACTCTGCCGATTACTTTTCTACGTCGGCCGTATATGGCTTTTGACAAATAGCGTCGCTTGTCTGACACATAAACTGGTTTCCTAATTACTTGTTTGGCGATTTTACATAGAGAGAGAGAGAGAGAGAGAGAGAGAGAGAGAGAGAGAATCACGAACCAGTGTACAAGTCAGTTAGTTCAAGTATTGCAAATTCGAATTAGGGAGGAAAGTGCGACGGACGATGCACGAGGAGATACATTGAGAATTGGAGCGAATGCTTATGTATTTCAAAATTCATTTATAAATTGATGCAATTCTTATTCTATTTCATACTCATAGTTTCTACAATTATTAAAAAAAACTTACAAAAACAATGAAGGAATAATAATAAACACAAAAAGTACTTAATCATCAAAGGCATCGAATGGGTAATTCGAACCAAGGTTGAAAGTTCGATTTCATACGGTTAAATTCCTAAAATTAGGTTCGCTTGGTTATTTACAGTCGAACATTCGCCCTTTTGTACTTCAATTCTCACTTCATTTTACTATTTATGTTCCCTTCTTTTTCACCCTGTCTCTTTCATTCTACTAATTATAATCGAGCTTGTGCCAAAGCTTAATACATTAACATTACTATTATAATCTGTCTATAAGATTATTCAATGTGGATAAATAAATAAACCATCTTCATCAGATTCTTTAGGATGAAATCTGTGTCGCAGTTTCGTTAGTAATTACAAAGTACGAGTGCCCTTAATACCTTAAGCATAAAAGTGGTGCGCACCCGCGCGTACAGCTACACGTATACACGCACACACACGCGCACGCACGCACGTACACGCACGCACACACGCACGCGCACACACACATATATACAGTTAAAACATAAAATTATGAAAAACGTTGCAGTACGTGTTTATGAATTTTTCATGTACTCCAATTTCTATTTCTCATTTGCCCTCCTCTCGTCCGACATCCCCCCCCCTCCCTTCCTCACTCAACCCCTTCAACAGTCCGTCCGTTTCTCACACTTTCTTTTTCATTTGCTTTACTTTCCGCCTTTCATTCGCACATGTTTATCTTTTTCCATGCGCTTGCGCCGGCACGCTCTCGCTCGCTCTCCCTCTTACAGTCTCTTTCTTCTGCCTCTTCGGCGAGACAAGTGTGTGACGCGCGCACAAGATACACTTTCAGTTTTGTCCAGTCGTTCGTTCGCGACTGCGGGACGCGCGTCGCGACGCACCGCTTTTTCTCGCCGACGCTTCGATCACAAACATACACACTCGCGCTCGCGCACGCAAACACAACAAATACCGATAAACAGATGCTTGTGCGTGAAAAAGCACGCGCACGCACGCGCGCGTATGCATGAGCAAGCGGAGGCGCACGGACGTGCGTATTTACGGGTGCCGCGAACGAACAAAGCCACGAACGAAGCTACAACGACGAAATAAAGTAGCTTAAGTAAACGAATACGCGCGAGTGGACGATTTTCTTCTTTCTTTGTTGTTCTATTTTGTTTTGTTTCGCATTTGTTCTTATTTTTTCATAAATTTCACAACGAAGAGCACTCATCATTACGAACCGTCAGAGCCGATGGAAACTTTTTGATTAGCCGGGAACGAAGGGGCTATAATAGAAGAGCGAAGAATAGCGAATGAAAGAAATGGCTCAACGAAACGAATATTTGTAATTGTTAAGTACGTGGGAATTCTTCCAGTCTCAGTTAGGTAAATACTTGTGAAATTACTTGTGTCATCAATTTGGCGATCCAACACTGCATTTCCATCAATGCGAATATTGTCAATGCGAGTACACCTGTCGCGGGTTGTGTTCATGATTGTTGTTTGTTGAGATTAGGGGAGAATCGGGGCGGATGAAATTAAATTGCAACGTTAGTTAATTGTCGCGTTGCGCCGGTGTATGTTGTCGAAGAAATTTGATCCAAAATGGAACAACCGAGGAGAAAGTAGGCTTTTCTTGCCTTACACGTGTCATAAGATCATTAACGCCGAGCGGCATTTCAACGATAAATTGCCCTTTCGCTTTTCAACGATTTATGCATTAATCTTAACGATGGGGGATTAGTTGTTTATTTTCTTGTCAATTTTTTCTTAAAAAAATTATTTAAACTAAATATAATGTTAGTAAGATTAATTTGAAATGACAGATTTGGTAAGATTAGCTTTCGCCCGTATAATTGTTAAAGGTGACGATGAGTCTCTGTGGTAGTAATTTGACACGTGAGTATATCAATGTTTAAACAATGTTTTATCAACAAAACCTAACTGATAAATATTGAATTTGATTAATTTAGTTTAGTTCTAAGTCGCTTATACGTTCGCTATGAATTATTACAAAATTGAAAAAGTATCGCAAAGCCGCTGACAAACAAACAATCGAGGAAAATTCAGGAGTTTTAATTACTAGAATGATTGTGATCTCGAAAGTACTTTAAATGAATTAAAAATTAAAAAGTGACACAGTTAAATCTGCGTTATTTTTAGATAAATCTCCATTTCATTCTAAATTGTAATTTCAATTCATCATTTGCTGATTAATTAGCAATTTAAATCTTGATATATGGCCTACACACGCGTCCCTCAATACATTATTATTTATAACTATGTATGCCTTTATATTATTTTTAGTGTTTAATATTTAATAAAAATTTATTAGGCATCTAGACGATTGAAATTGAACTGTCTTACTCTAACATTTAGTTGAATATTTTCCTTAAAAGTCAATCGTCAAATAAATTTGAGCTTTTATTTTACTCTAACAGTACGCTACCATTATAATAATATATCTAATTAATAATAATTTTATACATGTTCTAATTACCAATTTTCATTATTTCTCTTTAATTTTTTGACACCATCTAATTATATTTCATACTTACGAATGTCCGAAGCTATTATTGGGCTCGATCGATTAGTTGTAGGACAATGACACAATTAATCCATCGATCAGTTTTCGATCTATTTTGAATGAACAATGTGCTCAAAATCTTACTGTTATTTGCTTCTCTTTTTTTTGTTTTGTTTTGTTTTAGTTTTTGTTTAAGAGATCGCTTGATATTATTCGTAAAAAATGGATAAGATTTTGTTTGGTTGGTCAGTTAAATTGGCAATATTTCGAGATTGGAATCATGAAATATTTTTTAACCATATTTTTAGAATAATATCAGGCGATCATAATTATCATCCTGTGTAATTTATTTATTCAGAGAATTTACTTATCATACTAACGCGATACAAAAATAATTACAATGACGCAAGTATGCACCTACTTTTGAGGTTATAACTTTCTCGCCGATCTTTCGTTTTCAATATAATTTTCAACCGTTAATTTCAATATTTCTTTATCGCTATAAACTTATGGTATAAAGTACACTCTTCGAGACTATTATTGATTATGGAAAATTGTATAATAAAATATCGGATCCAGTTAATTATGATAATATTCGTTAGTATTGTGCGTACCAATTGTATTTTTTCGAAGTAGTAATGGATGAATCGACAATCGCGGTATAAAAAAAATCTCGCACATGTTTTACTTATATTAATCAATTACGAACTTTCTCTTTAATCGTTGGTTATAAAGAAAAAAAAAACAACATTGTCGCGCATTGTTTAATAATGTTTCAGAAAGTACGTGATTATAGTTGCAGCTAAGCTGAGCAGCTCATCCGAGATGAGCTTTGGTGAGCTTTTAATGGATGGGACAGGAGCGACGACGAGCGCATTTAAAAGCGACGCCTAGAGCGAGGGGGCGCCCGAAGTGAAAGTCGAGGCGGCCTTGGACGGAAAACGAAGAGCTAAGAAAACGAGAGAGAGAGAGAGAGAGAGAGAGAGGAGTGTGTGTGTGTGCAGCGTAGTTCGTAAAGAAATGGCGAAGATGTTTAGTTCGCTGCGCCTGGCGACGATGCGCTCGCACAAGAAGGCGAGGCCGGGAAGCGTAGCGACGAACGCGAGCTCCGACTCGACGCGCACCGATGACACCACCGCCAACGCCAACCATCATCACCACCAACAGCAGCAACAACAACCACACCAATACCAGCATCAGCAGCAGCAGCAGCAGCAGCAGCAGCAGCAGCAACAACAACAGCAACAGCAACTGCAAGTGCAGAGCTACTTCGCGCCCAACTTTCTCACTCTAGATGAGGTCGGCGAGGCTGGCTGTCCACCGACCAGCCTCACCTCCAAAGTCGCACAGGTGCCCGCCTCGTATGCTCCAGACTCGTTGGCTGTGTGTCTCGCGTCTTGTCTCGGTGCATCCTCTCCGTCACCTTCTTCTTCGTTGTCGTCGTCGTCGTCGTCGTCGTCGTCGTCGTCGCCTTTTCGCGGGAATTCCGGCGTCTAATTTTGGCATCGAAACGCGCACGACGACAACAGCGTCGAGAGCTCTCCGTACGAGCACGTTTGCCAATGTATGTGCATGTCTTAAAGAGGATCGGATAGCGTCTAGTCAGACCTTCCTACCCGTACTCACCCCCTTCAAGGCTAATTATCACCCTTGAAGCTCGAGCCCAACTTTTTTTCCATCTTTAAATCCCTTTTCCGCTCTCTCTCTCTCTCTCTATCCTCTCTGTCTAGCGCGAATTTTGCAATCTAATATTTTAAGGGATTGCGATGGATTTTGAAGGGTTGTTAAATAATCTCAATCCTATGCTGCATACGCATATACATAGCTTAATGAAATGTTTGATCGCGTTGTCGCATTCATAGATCGCAAATGGTAACAAATGATTTGCTTTATAGTAGCAGCGAGTATATAATTGCGGCTCGACTTTATTTAAAACATTTTTTTTTTGCCGAAGTCTTATTGAGTATAAAAACGAAAAAAGGAAAAAAAAGAAATTCGAGCAAAGGCGCGCATCAATGGTAATAGATAATAAAGTACGTTGTATCCGGGCATACGAAGCTTAAGTTGCAGGACGTCTAAGTTTACCACCGCTCCACTATTAATACCAACTATTAATATTTCGGTCGATAAAGCAGTAAGTAGCAACAGCAGCAGCAGCAGCAGCAGTCGTACGAGACAAATGCAAAACCGGGTTATTGCTCAAGACTGTAGTGGCTCCGGCTCATCCTTGCGTTATAATGAAACGGTATTTGATAAACATTAGCGCTCTGTCTTTCCCTGTACCTTGGAATTCGAGGCGTTAAACAGAGAAAGATAGATAGATAGATAGATAGATAGATAGATAGAGAGAGAAATTAATTTCGAGAACGCCGAGAGCGATGCGGCTGCGGCCCCGGTACTTAAAAATAAGTATATTTTTGAAGAGGATGCCAAGCGTAAAGCCGCGCTCCCCTTGATAATAATACCCTTGTCAGCTAATTTGAACGAGCGTCGTCGGGATGGCAAAGACGTTAAGAGTTGGTGGAAAAGATCAGCGGTGGGCCATGGTTCTTTCCCCCTATTGATAAATTCGAGTAGCGCGTGGAGGATCATTTGGCCACTTATGCTCATCCTATCATAAGAGATCAGCCTGACGAGTTTGGCAGCTGCGCAATCGTCGGCACTCGATGAGAGTAAAAAAAGAAGATGTTTACTGCAGGTGCGCGTGGAGCGCGAGGGCGGCAGCCTGGGGGTGACGCTCCGCGGGGGCGTGAGCCGCGTCCTCGTGGTGACGGGTGTGAAAGCCGAGGGCCCGGCGGCCAAGGAGGGTCGCGTGCGCCCCGGCGACCGTCTCCTAGCCGTCGACGACGCTGAGCTGCGGGGCTTGACCCTCGCCGAGGCCCAGCGCGCCCTGAGACGAAGCTCCGAGGCGCCCGTCGCCTCCCTCACCATAGAGTACGACGTCGCCAACATGGAGGAGATCAGGGCGGCCACCTCGGGGCCGCTCCTCGTTCAGCTCGAGCGCGGAGCCTCAGGTAGGCCAGTCACTTCAATCTCGTGCACGTTTCAGCTCCCACACTCCCACAGTCCCGACGTACAATCCCCCTTCTCCATCAGTGGAATCTCAACGGGGGCTGCGTCTACCAGACGACGAGCGACAGACAACTCCTTCCTCTCCACGCGAGTAATCGTTAAATAAGTAATCAAATAGATCCTCGTTCACTACGAATCGAGCGCTCGCTGATCGCGGGTCCTTCCATTCCCTGTTTAACGAACGATTTAACGATCTAGCGATGATCGGCTGTCAGCGCGGGATCGCGATCTCGTCGGCTGGGAGCGAGAGACGAAATTACGGGGCAGTTTTGATTCGCAGGTGAGCTGGGACTGACGGTGCGCGAGACGCCGAGCGGCGTTTACATCGAGAGTCTGCGCCCGGCGAGCACAGCCGATCGATGTGGCGCCCTCCAGCCGGGGGACCGACTCCTCGCCGTCGACGACAGCCCGGTGCAGGATGCGATCATGGCCGCCAAGCTGCTGCGCAACACCTCCGAGAGCTGCCGTATCGCCAGGTACTTTCCGTTAAGCCTCCTTAGGCTCACTAAACGATATCAGATGTACCATCCCTTACTTATCAATATTTAAGCGTCTTCGAGCTGTATTTACGATGGTAAATCGAAGGTGAAATTATGAGATTATTGATTATTGAAAGAGAGAGAGAGAGAGAGAGAGAGAGAGAGAGAGAGAGAGAGAGAGAGAGAGAGAGAGAGAGAGAGAGAGAGAGAGAGAGAGAGAGAGAGAGAGAGAGAGAGAGAGAGAGAGAGAGAGAGAGAGAGAGAGAGAGAGAGAGAGAGAGAGAGAGAGAGAGAGAGAGAGAGAGAGAGAGAGAGAGAGAGAGAGAGAGAGAGAGAGAGAGAGAGAGAGACCTGGGATAATTATGTTTATATTGTAGAGATCGCGGTCGAGATCGCGGTCGCGGTCGGATGTGCACTTTCGCGCTTTGTGCATTACGAGGAAATGTCGATTGGCAATGGGTGAGTGAGAGGTCAAGCGGATGAATCATCGGACACCCTGAAAAAACGGGGACAATGACATCGAGCTCTCGAGTTTACGGGGAGGAGGGCCGATTGGTTTACAGCAGGATAGCTAGGAGAAGTCGAACCATCGATCTCCCCGTAGAGGGCGATTATTAAGTCGTAGTAGAGTTATCGGGGTTAAGGGTGACGGACTGTTTCGGAATCGAAGGTCCTCGCGCGTCTTCTCGTTCAACGTTGGGACTGATAGAGCGATCGCGTTCGCACCAGGTTGCAGATCCTACCGAGGCCGCCGAGCGCCTCGAGCCGCACGATGAAGCGTAGGGCGCAACCGCAGGCCCAGCGGGCAGCGAGGAACGCCCTTTACACGCAGGAGACGCTTACGGTGTTGCTGCGACCGGATCACCGGGGCCTCGGCATCGGTCTCAAACAGACCGAGGAGCGACTCGATTACGTCGTCGACATCCTCGAACCGGGAGGCCCTGCCGAGAGGAGCGGCGTCCTATTGCCGGGCGACCGCGTCATCGCCGTCAATCGCAGGAGTCTGAGAGATGTGCAGCCCGCCGAAGTCGCCATGATCCTCGAGGCGCCGCAGGTACGTTCGATCTCGACAACCTAACTCCTCCCTCTTTTCCGTGTCCTCTTTCATCCGACTCTTACTTTATCATTGTCGTCGTCGTCGTCGTCGTCGTCGTCGTCGTCGTCGTCGTCGTCGTCGTCATCATCATCATCATATCGTTACTTGGTCGACGCTCGTTGTGCGTTTAATTGTCGGTGATATGGTGATACCAGCGATTTCCACGCACAACAATGTATATTTATATTGACGGGCACGAACGATATATTTGTTCGTGATTCCCCCGGAAATGGACGATGAAAGGCGTTCTACCGCGAGCCCAAGTGTCGATAAAATTTTTTATCGCCCCACTAATGGCGCTCTTGAAGTTAATTCGCCCGCGAGCGGATGAGAGTGCACGGTTGTTTTAGAAAATTTACGCCAATTGCTTTTATAGGCTTGTTATGCCGAGGGAGAGACGAGCTTTTACAACGCCACTTTCAACAAATACACAATGGCTACTATTTTATAGAAGATTTAATATGAAATTCGAGTCTCGCTTGGAGCAATGCTGTTGTAGGCTCGATTAAGTGGATGAGAGTGTTTTTTTTTTTTTGTTTGTTTGTTTTTTTGTTTTTGTTGTTGTTGGAAGCTTGCAGACGTCAAAGGATCGTAGAGTATTTAACAAAATGTGTGAAATATAATTAAAAAAAATATATTGCAAGATACTGCGATGATTATACTTACTTAAATTGCAAATTTTGCATAATCTATTGTTCACGAATAATGGAATGGAAAGCTTAAATCCAATGTAAATGATGCTCGATGTTGCTAATAATGGCTGATATATTTTCACTGAAATTGTTCTTACATTTAGAAATCGTTCCTTAAGAAATATCACAAAACGTGGGTATCGATCTCGATCCCTGTGTATGGAGAAAGAAATATTAACGATTAATTCAAGATAGATGAACGTATGGCCAATAATAAAACATTGATAATTTAATTGAAGAAAAATTGAATAGAAATCTTAATTTGGGAACAGATAGGCTTCAAAGAGTTTGCCTCGAAACTTTTATCTCACTCCAATGGCAGACAGTCGTTTTAAATAGAATAAATCGCAATCATGGCTTCAAGAGCTGATGATTACAATATTTTTATTGCACATTTTGTAATATAAAAGTGTCGACGACCAGTCGACAGCTTCATAGCAATGAAAATTTTACGTTTCCTTATATTCGTTCGATCTTATGTGTTCCATACTTGTGTCATCGCGCGTAATTTTTTTCAGTACATCCACTTAATTCTTATATTAATTACGCGTATTTTTAACTGCTAGTATCACCTTCTTTTTCTTTTTCTTTTTTTTTTTTTTTTTTTTTTTTTTTTTTTTTTGTCATTTTTTGCATTCCACACTACAATGTTTCAGCAACGATATAAGCAATAAGCAATAAGCAATAAGCAATAAGCAATTTATGAAAAATTGTCAAAGAGTATCATATAAGTAATGGCCGACTAACGTTCGAGCCCCTCGAATCCCTGAATCCCTCTTATTTATCCATAATTAAACGACTTATTTCCTCGTCGATATCGACCCCACCTACTTTCGATCATAATCAAGAGCACGTGACTTTGTGAGTAGGTGGAGCTCGTCGTGGAGTACAAGGTCGGTGGGCCCGTGGTGCCGAGTTCCGGTGTATTCACGGTGCGTGTCGCCCGCCCCCTCGGCGGTCAGCCGGATCTCGGCATCACGGTCAACGAGGAGCTGCGGATCTCGGAGGTGCGCCGGGGCTCACTAGCCTATCGTACGGGGAGCCTCGCACCCGGTGATCGACTTCTTGCCATCGACTCTCAGAGGCTCGACCCGGGTGATCTGCGCCAGGCTGCTCAACTGCTGCACAGGCCCGGAAGTTCCGTGGTTGCCCTCACCGTGCGGAAACCCGACCTCATCGAGCCCGAAACCAGGTGCGGATTTATAATCGGGCGCTATCTCATTGCCTCGGGTTAGTTTGCAGATTATCGGGAGCTCCTTTGAGGCATCGACGATTAGATATTTTGAAAGTCGATGTTGGGAGGGCGGAGGATGTTGGTAATCGGTTATTTTGCAATTTGCTCTTTCAACGTATAAATTATATGACAATGGCGAGTGCGAAGAGGTCGATTATAATTGAGTAAAATAATTATCGAATCTTTAGTAGTATTATGATGACGCGTTGTGAGTTAATTGATCCTTTAACAATGTTATCCAAGGTAAATTGCGCTATTTACACTCACATTGATGATAATCAATGAGAAAAGCTAGTGCTGGAAATTAAAAGTAAACTGACGGTATGATTTACGCGCGAGGGAGGATCGTAGTAGATCGAAGTCGTATAATATGATATTATTATCGAAAAAGAAAAAGGATAAAACGATCCTTGTTAATGAGTATATGGATAGTTGACATGATTGCCGTAAGTTTGGCTTTCGAAGCGAATTACGAATGAAAGAGGACATTTGTCAAAGTCTCGGATCTCGCGCAGGGAGTCGAGCATTTCCGGGGACTTGGTGCAGCCGCAGTACTCGAGCAGTGCGCTCAGGTCGGCTCGCGAGAGTCTGCCGAGTGTCGACAGCGCTGTTGACTCCTGGGGCGAGATGGGTGACGTCGCCGGGCCGGAGATCATGAGACTCTGGGAAACAGCCTCCGTGGACAGCGGACAGTTGGATTTGCCGATGCCGCCCTATCCTTACCCAAGGTGACTATCACTTCTCTCATTCACTTTTTTTCTTCTTTTCTTAATTGTTGTCGCTTTATTTAGCATCGAAACTAAGTTACACGGACATTAGCATCGTGACTCTTACGATAATGTAATTTATGTCTTTCGAATGGAATGCCATATTTCATAGGTCGATGTAAAGCTCAGAAAATTACAATCCCATCGAGTTGAAACATTATAGCCGCTTAATAAAAAGGAAAATGGAAGAAGATTCTTCTTCTTCTTCTTCTTCTTCTTTTCTTTTCATTATTTTACGTAGAAACTTCTGTAATAAATGAGCAAATGTGGGAGTAAATGTCGGGATTTAATTTAATATGCTTGCGAATTATCGTATAAGGATGTGTTTGTACTATTTAAAACAAATTAACTTTGATATAATATTTATTTGTTAAATTACTAACGACATTCATGAGTTTTAGATCAACAAATAAGTAAATAGTAATAGAGCTGTCATTTTTAAACGTAATTTGAACCGAATAATATACAATATTTCGGTCTATTGTTTTATGTAAAATTTCATACAGCCGATTAGCATTTGCTATTAATATTGGGAGCGTTAAAAATAGATAAATTTAATACAATAAAAGAAAATAATAAAACAAAAAACAAAAAACTAAAAAACAAAGCACAAGTCTCGCGAGTTATAACGCGTACGATAAATATGGATAACGACAGTTCCTTAGCATCGAGCTCGCCACGGCCCACCTATAGCTGTAGCCCCCAGGATAACCGCAAATCTCAGCAGCAGCAGCAGCAGCAGCAGCAGCAACAACAACAACAACAACAACAACAACAGCAGCAGCAGCAACAGCAGCAGCAACAGCAGCAACAGCAGCAGATTGTGCACGTATCGCTGCACAAAGACCCCGTATACGAGGACTTTGGCTTCTCGGTGTCGGATGGTATGTACGAGCGGGGCGTGTACATAAACCGACTAAGGCCCGGGGGTCCCTGCGACGGAGTCCTTAGGCCCTACGATCGCATATTACGAGTGAACGAGGCCAGCACCGAGGACTGCGACTGCTGTCTCGCGGTGCCCCTCATCGCCGCAGCAGGCCCGAGGCTCGACCTCACCATCGCCAGGCCCCTCACCCCCTCCGACGGCATCGGCAAGCTCTTCTAGGAGTTCCACCTGCCACATCTCCGAACCAATCAATCATCACCACTTCGCTCGAACGGAATAATGTTGGAAAAAAAAAACCCAGACTCTCATGATGCCTTTCACATACAGTCCCGTGAAAATTGCTTTCCTCTTCATAATTTTGGCGAGGCGATGCAACGACAACCTTGGCGCGGCAGTTAAAAAGTGCAACTAATTATGCGTTACTCTCGTCTCTGAAATCCCTGTCCCATCTCTCGATATGTACTCGACGAGTAATGTCGCCTAAATAATGTAACGTACAGTGCGATTGCTACAGTTTAATTGCCTCAGATGTAGCATTTTATCCAGCAGTTCTCTCTTTCTTTTCAATAAATCAATGCCTCTCTTAACGCGCTACTACAGGAGCAAGAACTTTCACGCAATCGGCAAATTGTAATTCGATGTTAAAAAAATATTTGTCGTTTAGCATGTGAGACTTGTATTAAAATTCAGATTACTGATATAGAGTAAACTTTCGAGATTAAAATTGTCTAAATATTGTTTTAGTTTGGATGTGATGTTGCATTTAAAATTACGTCAAGCTCAACTTAAAAGCATTCGTCTTATTTGCGACTCACAAGTGCATCCGTTTCGAAGAATTTGGCTTGAAGTGCACTTGTAAAATTTTCAGTTGCTTCTGTATATTTATCGACAATTCATTTCAAGCTTAAAGTACAATCATTACATAACGTCATTACATTATTCAATGCGCGTTAACTTTTCACCATTAATTCGAGCATTATTCAAGAATATTTTAGTCAAATTCAACGTTATATATAAACTATACGCACGCGCACACATATATATATATATATATATATTGTTTACACGAGCTCGTTGTACAGCAATAATCAACGAATTTTAGTGTATTAAGGAGGAGCATTAGCATTTTTGTTGTATAAATGTATAACGATCGTTACTTTTCAACAAAAAACAAAAACAAAAAAAAACAAAAAAAAAAAAACACAAAATTAAATAAATTTAAATTCTTTATAAATTTCTTGTCCTTATTATTATTATTATTATTATTTTGTTTTGTTTTTATAATTAATCGTTCCATCTACAATGTACTATGGGTTGAAATTTACCAATTGTATTCAGATATTGAATATGGAATTATTAAAGCTACATCCAATATTTAAGCAAGCGGTGATAATTCTTTTAAGGATAATGTTTTACTGCATTTAAGTTGGGAAAATGGAATTCTAATTATGATAGGCTTTTGGAATAGTATACACAAGCGTATTATCCATTATCTTTAATTACAATATAAATATTATGTCTTCGGACTATTGCAATGAATAAAGGAAGTTTTGCAAGTGGAATCGTACAATATCGTATAAACTACTGTCAAAAATATTGCAACAACTTGATCGCAAATTGAATTTACTGCAAATGCAATTGTTAATTTAGTGGGAGTAAGAGATGAGAATGTGGTTAGGAGGTATAGAG